GTTTAGTGATTGTATGTATAAATAGTAATAACAATAATAATAAAAACTGAAAAGAAAAAATTAATCTAAGAAAAGAATTTGTGTATTTATTTACTTAATACATATAATGTCGTTGGAAATTTAATTTGCTCTCTTTGACCATGGATACTAATGGCCTTGTTATAATAATGTTACTACTAATTAAATTCTCCTGACTTAATTGAAAAAAAATGAAAAGTTATTTGCTTATGTTAATGTATATGGTAATGCTTTTGTCTTCACTGATCTGCATTGAATTTTAAACCTAGCAAGGACCCCCTAATGCATTTTCTAGGGTTCCTGAAATATAAAGTCCATTACATTGTAATGGCTCAGAGTAAGGAGTAAGTCTTCAGACTTTGGTTATGATAATGACCAACATGGACCATAAATGAGGGCCACTTGACCTCTAAAACTCTCACTTAAAGGGAAGATAAGGTTTTCATTTCAACATATAAGATGTTTTATAGGCTGGAAACTGCTGGTTGTGAGCTCGAAGACTTCAGGCTGAAGGATTTCAGATACCTGAAGAGAAATTTGATTATCTAAGGCCTCACCAATCAGGAAAGTCCATGAGATGATCACGCCCTCTTGGACCAATCATTGAACTGATCATGCACCTAGGACCTCTGTCCCTAAATTTTGCCTTAAAAATGCATGTGGGGAACATTTCGGGGAGACCGGGTCTTTTCAGCCTAAGCTGCCTGCTCTCCTTGCTTTGCACTTTGCAAAAAAGCTATACTTTCCTTCATCACACCGTGTCCCTATGGCTTGGTTTTATAGTGCTTGGGCGAGTGAACCCGATTTGAGTTTGGTAACTAACAAATTCACGCAGGTAAAAGCAATGTTGTACACTGTAAAGACATGGAGTGTTTAAATGCAAATTTAAAAATAAATAAAATTTTGCATTCTTGTATAGATGTAACACACTTTTGGTGGGTTCTCCTCTTAGGTACAGGGCATGGTAATTTGGCTTGCCTCTGTAGCTATAAAAATGTCTTTAAGTTGCCTATGATAAGTTCACTCAATGTAATGTTAAAAGTCATTTCTCACAAATGCATTTTTTCCCCTTTGTTTCAACTTTTTCCGAAACAAGTTCTAATTATTTTAAAACTTGCTTTTCTCAGCTTTGTCATTGCCTATTCAAATACGCCTTCTCCCCTTACTATTTTTTTCTTTCAGTATTTCTTTGCTTTTATAAATAAAGCAATCATTATATTGAACTTAATTTGTTTTATTTATTTATTTTAATTTGACCAGAAAGGGACAGTATTAGAGAGAGAGTGAGAAAGCAAGCCGCCAGGTTCAGGACTTAAACTACAGCTGGCCATGTGGGAGTTCACCACACTACCTGCTGACCCCTTTCAGCATTTCTAAACCTCCCTTTGCCCTGCAATATATGAACTCTGGAAGACACCTGCCCATCTTGTTTATTAATATTAAGGTATATGACTCAGGCATAACTTAATATTACTAATATTAACCTAATATTACTCATCCCTGAATACTAATATACTCATAACCTAATATTACTCATCCCTGAATAATCAAAACCAGATCAGTAAGTGTCAAGGCATGGAGTGTTGGAACTTTAAGGAAAGAAGATTTCTTGTTCTCTAAGAGAGAACTTAAAGATGAATATGTGTATATTCTTGATTTGAAAAAAGAAAAAGAAAACAAGTAACTCAAGTGAACAAAATGTACAGGAATTCAATAAACATGTTTCAGAAGAAAGCATAGGAATGGCCATTAGTTATACAAATATGCATTCAATATTATTAATCAACACTATCCAGAGAATGCAAATGAAAACAATAGTGAAATATAATCTCACCTCTTAGAATGGTTTATATCAAAAATAGAAAATACATAGGTTAAAGAGGATAGGAAAAGGGAATAATTGCGCATTGTTGATGGAAATGTAAATTTATCAAATACCCTGAAAACAATATTTTGAGATGTTTCATAAAATAAAAAAATAGATCTGTTATATGACTTAGCCATCTCATTGTTGGGCATATATACAATAGATATGAAGTTGATATTTCAAAAAGATTTCTGTATTTTAATGTTTATTTTAAAATTATTTACAACAGTTGAAGTATCGATGTGAACTTGTTAACAGAAGAATTGATGTAAAACAGTAATATATGCACACAATGGAAAACTAATTCACCTTAAAGAAAGAAAAAAGTCTTTAGTCCTATAGCCTGGAGGTTAAGGGAGCCAGGTCCTACATGACTGATCATGGTTTGAATTCCATCCTTGGCAGCTTGAAAAACACACTGGGCATGTGTACTTGTATGCCCCAAATCCTTATAGGATCAAGAAATGAAGTAGATAGTGTATGGTCATAACCCATTAAGAGATATATTCTCTCTCTCTCTGTGTCTCTCCTTAGTGACAGCATGTGACCTGCAGTAATTTTTTAAGAATTCTAGATTTGTGGGGCCAGTAGGTGGCATGATGGTTAGGGTGCTAAACTGCCACATGATCAACCATAGTTTAAGTCTTCAATTTGGTGGCCTGCTTTCTCCCTCTCCCTCTTTGTCTCTCTCTGGTAAAGTCAAGGAGTAATAATCAATAAATAAAATTAAATAAGTTATTAAAAAAATGAATTTTAGATTTTGGGGGCCGGCAGGATGGTGTGTTGGTTAAGAGCTGAATTCCCATTTGACTGACTGAAGTTCAAGTCCTAGTAGCTGGACTTCCACATGAATGACTGTAGTTCAAGTCCCAGACCCAGTGTCTTGAAACTCATGCGGGGCTCATGTGTGTGCATGCCAAAAATCCCAAGAGGAAAATGGATTAGATGCATAATCATCCCCATGGGGGTGAATTCTCACTTTCTGTCTCTCTGTCTTACTTTGTCTTTCTGGTGAGTACAAGTGCTCTGTAGCAAAAATTTCTCTAAAAATAAATACATACAAAATTTTATTTAGATGAGAAGAATAAGTTCTATTAGGGGAATCTATTGTATTGTACACCATGTTTATGCAGTTAGTAACATTATATTGTATGCTTGAGCAATACTGAGCACATAGATATTACATGTTATACCTTCTAAAACAAAGTTGAGATAGTCTGTATGTTAAAAGCTTGATTTGGCCATTGCCCAAATTTTACATCTATGAAAACATCTCATATGTCATAAACATATAACATTTTTACTAAGTTAAAATATTAGAAATATAAATAAATCAATAATGAACAAGTAAAATTTTATCAAGAATACTTTTCATAAAGGCTGAGAGAAGAAACAAATATATGACAAGGAAAAAAATGCCAGATTGAGGACAGAGTATGTTTTTGTTAATAAAATATGAATCTATGTAATAATGAAGACTTGGTGCCTGATTTATCAATGGTCAGAAAAGAGGACGTCAGACTGAGGGGTCATTGCAACATTATTCACAATTGCTAAGACATGGAATCAACCCAAATGTTCAAAAACAGATAAATGGACTGAAAAAGTATGGCACATATACACTATGGAATACTAATCCTCAGCCACAAAAAAAAAAAAAAAAAAAAAAAAAAAAAAAAAAAAAACAGTGAGACCCTGGAATTTGATAGAAAGGGGACAAGTATGGAAGATTTAATGTTAAGTTGGGACCAGCAGATAGCATAATGACTAAGTTACCTTGATAGAAAGTGGACAAGTATGGAAGATTTAATCTTAAATTGGGACCAGCAGATAGCATAACGACTAAGTTGCTGTACTTCCACTTAATTGACCATGGTTCGAGTCTCGGACGTGGTGACCTCACACTGATGCTAGTCACGTACTTGCGCGCCCAAAATCCTGAGAGAAGAATGGAGGAGAAGGGATTACAGAGTGACCATCACCCCTGGAGGGGTGATTTCTCGCTTTCTGTCTCTCCAGCAACTGTATGCACTAAATAGCAAAAATCTCACTCTCTCTAAGAAAAAGAAAAAAAAAGATTTAATAACTGAAACAAGTCAGACTATGAAAGAGAGGCATTGTACATTACCACTTAACTTACACTAAATGTCTGCACTCTGTGACAGAAACGAAAAGAGTGGAAGGCATTAAAGATGAAGAGAAACTGTCAGCGCCAGAGACAGTTTGGGAGCAGGGTGGGAAATTGGGGATGGGGGTGGAATTAAGGGATAAATAAATAAATAAATTTGTGGATTGTTGGAAGTGGTTACTGAATAATCAAATTTTCTCTACTCCCTTGTAAACAATAAGGCTCATTTTTCCCAGGATTGTGTTGCAGGCTTGAGAGTGATATTACACATGGTAATGAAGTGCTTTTGTGCATTCCTGACGAAGCCATCAACAACTGATATCAGCCTTTTCCCTTCTTACTACCAAAACACCTTATGGCATAGGTGTTTTGTTCATTTTAATACCATATTTTTGCTTTGGCAAAATCACTAGAAGCAGCCTTTTAACAACCATACTTGACCTCTCTTGACACAAAATTGCAGAGCTCATTGTTGTAGGATGGGATGGTCCCCAAAGCCTGGCTTGCCATGATGAAATCACAGAGGACAGGGGAGAAAAAAAGTTCATAATATGTTCCTGCCAAGTTGTTTTTCACTAGAATAATGGGTGACAGGTGTACAGCCCCAGGGCAAGGTGATCCCCAGAGATTCTGGATGAGGCTGAACTGACACAGTAAAAAGACAGGGAAGTGAGTTCCTGACATTACAGTGATACCAAGGGTTGCCTCAGCACTGTGACTTCTTTAGAAATGCCTTTTTAATGCTCTTATCTGTGCCCTCATCTGCTATGTCAGTCTGGAGCATACTTTGTACAGACTGAAAGCAGATAGTGAAGGTTGGAGTCCTCTGTCCCTTCCACAGAAGTTGATCTTTCCTACAAAAGGCTGAAACTGTAGCTATGATCAAGCTCCAACTTCTCAGCTCAACACACACATAAGGCTTTGCCTTTGTGTTGGACAGGTCCTAACATGTCAGTCACTTTTATTTGTCTCTTACTACTTCTACAGGCATTACAGACTGCTTGTGAAACAACATTTGAAGAATGTATTGAATACCTAAAGCCAAGTGTCTACAGAGATGGGGACTTAGTAATGGGTGGGTTTTTCCCACTTTATTCCTTAATACCGGAAGATATAATTCGCCTACCTTTTCTAACAAGACCAACTCAAGCATTGGCATATTCTGTGTAAGTTTTCCATTATACATATGTGTAAATGTGTTTATAACTGTGTATGACTGTGTCCTCTGTATGTGATTACCCCACTTGAAAATAATTAAAGTGCACAGAATTCACAAATAAGGAATAGTTAATTTGGGATGTTCTTCCTTGCTATTCTTTTACTACTTTTCTCTCTCTTTCTTCTTTTTTTTCTTTTCCTTTTTTTTTTTTTTAATGACTTGCTGGATGGCATGTAGGCTTAGCGGAGAGAGGGAGAGTAAAAAATTATCTCCATGGAAGATAATAATTCCTCAATTCTTTCTCCATTTCTTCCTTCTTTGGAGATTTTTGGCACATACATACATGTGTCTGGAAGGATTTTCCAAGCCACTGGATCCAAGGCTCAAAAATACATTAACGTCCATGTGGTTTCTAGCTGCCTTACCACCCAGGCCATGGGCTATTCCCCTCTCATTACTTTTTTTTTTTTCCAATTTCCCCTCACTCCTTTTAATACAGAGAAATTAATAATTACTTTGGACCACATCATCAATACTATCCCCATATTCAAGCATTGGAAAGCTCAGAATGAAAGAGAATGTTGGGACCTAAGCCCTCCTACAACCAAGACCCATATTCTGAGACCCACATGCACTGTGGAAACACTGACCCCTAATGTGAAGTCAGTGTTAGCATCAAGGGCCTAACTCTGGGTGCTCACTGTTGACACAGGCATTATAGAAATGTACCTTGTGGAGCTGGAAAGTGGCATAGTGATTAATTTGTTGTACTCCCACATGGCTGTCTGTGGTTCAAGTGTTGGACCCAGTGACTTGAAACTCATGCCAGGCATTTGTGTGTGTGTGTGTGTGTGTGTGTGTGTGTGTGTGCTCAAAAGCCTTAGAGGAGAATGAAAGAGATGGAATTGCAGCATGGCCATCTCCCTTTGGAGATGATTTATTTTATGTCTCTCTGTCTCTGTCTCTCCAATGAGCACATGTGTCCTATAGAAAAATATCTCTCTGAAAAAAGAAGTGTGCTTTGTAGAGAAGACATGACTTTCTTCTCCACCTTATGCAAAATATGTCCAACAAAAATTCAGTCATTTAATTTTGTCAGATACCAGGCATTTGGATTTGTGATCCTAAGAGTCAAAAAGAGCCACTAGGTAAATTTTTAGAAATTAGGGAGAAACATATAATCCATCAGATATTCAGAAATAAGTGCAATAGCACAGGAAATATGAGGAACCAAGAAAATACCTCTCTCTCTCAAGGGAATAGAACACCATCTCGTCATCTACAGACAGCGCAATAGAACTCATGAAAATGTCAGATAAACAATTCAGAATATTCATAAGGACAAAACTAATTGAGATGTAAGAGTAAAGTGACAATGAACTCAAGGAAATAAGGATGCCCTTCATTATTTGAAAGAAGAAATGGACAGCATAAAAAAGAATGAATGGAACTTATAGAAATGAAGGCTGTAAAACAGCCTCAAAATTCTCCTCCAAATGTGTTAATAGCAGAGTATATTATGCAGAAGATTGAATCTTGGATCTAGAAGACAAAACCTCTGATCTAAGAAAAAAATACCAAAAAGCATTTTTGAAAGAATGAGAGCTCCCATATAGAAAATACTAGATAATATTAAATGTCTAAACATCTGAATAATTAGTATCTCACAGGCTGAAAAATCTAGTAAGGACATTGATAATCTATTCTGTGAAATATTTGAAGAAAGCTTTCCAAACCTAGAGAAACATTCGAACATTCAGATCTAAGAAGTACAAACAACTCCAAATAGAATCAACTTAAGAAGATCATCTCCATGAGATATCATAGCCAGATTGGCAAAACTCACAGATAAAGAAAAGATTCTAAAAATGGCAAAAGAGAAACTTACAGTTACTTTCAAAGTTTATCCCATCAGACTAACAATGGACCTCTCAATGGAAACAACATAAGCAAAGAAATAATGGGATGACATACTCAAAGTATTAAAGGAAAACATTTTCAACCATGAATGCTATACCCCAAAAATTATCCTTTGAATGGGAAAAAAATATAAAAACATTCTCAGATAAAAGCTGAAATAATTTACCAAGACTAGACCAGCTCTTCAAGAGGTTCTGAAGGGATTTCTATATCAGGAAAAATAAAGAAAAACAGAAAGAAGAAATAGAACAAGAAAAGAAAATGGCTAACAAAATGGCATGGACAAGTCCAGAAATATCCACAATAGTGTTGAATGTTAATGGATTAAATTCTTCAATCAAGAGACACAGACTGGCTGAATGGGGAAAAAAAAGAAAAGAAATGCATATCATGAATAAAGATATATATAGATTAAAAGTGAAGGAATGCAAAAAGCTACTCCATGCAAACAGAAATTAAAAAAGGTGGAATTTTGATACTGATTTCAGACAAAATAGACTTTAAGACAAACAACATAAGAAGAGACAAAGAGGGACATTATATAGTACAAAAAGGGCTAATTCATCAAGAAGATATAACACTTATAAATATTTACGCACCCAATACAAAAGCACCCAACATATGGAGAAAAGACTGCTATGCCTCGAAGGAGAGATACACTGTGGGAAATGGAAATGCAACAAAAACAACAACAAAATCACCAAAACTGCCAAGAGAAAAGAAAAAAATAATGATCTGAGCAGAAATAAATTACTTAGAGAACAACAGAACTATACAAAAAAATAATAAAATCAAAAGCTAATTCTTCCAGTAGATAAAAAATTGATACATAGTTAGCTAGACAAATTAAGAAGAAAGAAAAGAACCAGATAAGTCAGATATGCAATGAAGCAGGCAATATTAAAACAGAAATAACAAAAATACCAAATATTACTAGATACTATCAGTAACTATAAGCCAAGAAACAAGAAAACCTAGATGAGATAGACAAATCCTGGACACATATAATCTAGCAAGATTGAATACCAAAAAAAAAAAAAAAAAAACGAACAAATAGTAACACCAAAAAAAAAAAAAAAAAAAAAAAAAAAAGCCTGAATACAACCATAACAAGCAGTGAGATTGAAATCACTATTAAATAAATTATAAACAACAACAAAAACCCAGGTCCTGATGTCATCACTTCTGAATTCTACAAAACTGTTTTTAAAGAATAGTTATCATTCCACTCACACTATTTCTAATTATTCAAAAGGAAGAAACTCTCCAAAATTAATTTCAGGAAGCCTCCATCTTCCTCATCCCCAAAACAGACAAAGACATACCAAAGGAAAACTACAGACCAATATCTGTGAAGAAAATAGATGCAAAAATATTCAACAAGTTACTAGTAAATAATTTCAATGACATATAAAAAGGATTATACACCATGAGGTGGTACAGTTTATTCCAAGAATACAGGGGAATTCAGCATAAAGAAAACCATAAAAGAAATATACCTTATTAACAGAAAGATAAAAAGTATACAATCATCAGAAAAATAATTTGATAAACACACATCCTTTCATGAATAAGACCCTCAGCCAAATTGGTATAGAAGGAACATTTCTCAACCCCATAAATGGCATATATGAAAAACCTATAGCTAACATCATAATTAATGGGAGAAAGCTGAAAACTTTTCTACTAAAAACTAGACCAAGACAAGGCTAACCACTTTCTCCACTCATTTTCAATATAGTACTAGAGAAATTATAGAATAAATAAATAAATAAATAAGACTTCCTAGAAGTGATAAAAACAGTAAAGTGGCAGGATACAAAATCACATACAAAATCTATAGCAGTTCTATACACTAATAGTGAACAGACTGAGGTAGAATTGAAGAAAGCAATTCCATTTACCACACCCACCAAAGAAGTAAGATAGATGGGAATAAACCTAACCAAGTAAGTCAAAGACTTCTACAAGTAAAACTATGAAAAACTTCAAATAGAAATTTAAACTGACAGAAAAAAGTGGAAGGAAATCCCTGATTTCAGGATTGGAACTATTAATATACTCAAAAGGTCAGTTCCACCCAAATTAATCTACATATGTAATGACATACCACTCAAATTATCAGAAATATTCTTCACAGATTTACTGAAGAAAATCATAAAATTTGTCTGGAATCATAAGGACTCCATATTTCTAAAAAGTAATTCTGTGCCAAAAGAGTGGAGTAGGAAGTATCACACTCCTTGACCCCCAAACATGTGACAAAGCTGTGATAATCAAAACAGCACAATACTGACAAAACCAAAACAAACAAACATAAAACAAGACATGTAGACCAAACCTCAAAACATACAATAAACTGATTTTTGACAAAGGGCTCCACTCAATCCAGTGGAGAAAAGAAAATCTCTTTAGCAAATGATGCTGATAAAACTAGGTATCCGCCTGCAGAAACATAAAACTAGATTCCTATGTTGCACCATTAACAAAAGTCATTCAAAATGTGTCAAAGTCTAAACCTAAGATCTCAAACTGTGAAATCACTGGTGGAAAACAAAGAGTAAACTCTTAGAGATATAGGTGTATGCTAAGAATTATTGAACAAGTCCCTCAAAGAACAGGCAATAATCCCCAAAATAGATAAGTGGGATTATGTCAGATTAAAAAGCTTCTACCCAGTGAAAGAAACAATAATTAGAATGAATGAACAACACACAGAATGGAAGAAAATATTTTCAAAGTAAGTGTCAGATAAGGGACTAATAACCAGGATACACAGCGGACACAAACACCTTAACTAAAGATAAAATGATCAACTCATTAAAAGATGAGCAAAGGAACTGAATGAACAACTCCCTAAGGAAGACATATAAATGGCCAAAAAGCATTTTAAAAATGCTCATCACCTATCATGAGGGAGATGGAAATCAAAATTATAATCACCTAACCCCAGTCAGAATGGCTAAGATTAAAAAAAATAAACAATGTTAAGTGCTAGTGAGGCTGTGGTGAAAAGGAAGGAAGTCTTTCTTATACTGTTGGTGGGAATTTAAATTAATGCAGCCACTGTGGAGAATAATATGAAGGTTCCTCAAAGACCTAGAAATAGAACTACCATGTAATCCAGCAATTTTACTCCTAGGTATCTACCCAAAGATAAGAAAATACTCAGTTGGAGAAACGCTTGCACATCTAAGTTTATTACATCATTATTCACAATTGCTAAATCATTAAATCAACCCAAATGTTTGTGAACAGATGAATGGATTGGAAGAGTGAGGTACATGTACACTACAGAATACTACATACACAGCCATAAAAAAAACAATGACACTCTGGTATTTGAAGACAGTGAAAAATATGAAAGATTTACTGCTAAGCAAAGAAAGCCAGACTATGAAAGAGAAACATTGCATGTCCCCACTAGATATATACTGAATGTCTTCACTCTATTGCAAAAACTGAATGATTGGTTGGTATAAAACCATGGAGATCAATGGTTATACTGGAGAGAGTGTGGAAAGAGT